GTGCACATTGGGGACCGCTACACCAGGCATTTGCACAAACCATGCATTTCGTCACGGAGCGGTAAGACGAGCAGCTTTTCTCTGCCCATGAGAGTTCTATTGCTTGGACACGATGAATTGGGCCAATGGTTTAAAGGAAATGATGGTTGCGCAAAGAGAATTCAGGAGGGAATTCGGGTTTGGAAAGTTATGGATGATGTCCAGGAAGAAGACGACTTCATATATTTGAAATACATGTAGATTGTTGTACCATACTTAAAAATAAACCACATACTGTGGCGGCGCGTGGTGGCTCACGCTGTATCCTAGCACTCATGGAAGGGCGAGTGGGGGGATTGGCTCCAAAGGTTGGGGTTCAAAAAATCCAACCTGCGCCGATGCATCTCTACTAAAAATAGAAAGAAATATTAATGACCAACTAAAATTATATATACAAAAAAAAAAAAATTAAGGGGCCGGGCATAGTGGGCATGCGCCTGTAGTCCCAGTACTTGGGAGGCTGAGGCAGGAGGATTCGCTTGAGGCCGGAGACTGAGTTTGCTTGTAGGTAGGCTGGTGCAGGGCACTCACTCTAGCCGTGAGCACAAAATGGACTCTATGTCAAAAAAAAAAAAAAAAAAATCCCCTGAAAGATAAGGCCCTAGGGTGTCTTCTGAGGAAAATATAATAGAAGACCCGTCTTTTTTTTTGAGACAGGAGTCTTGCTTTGTTGCCCAGGCTAGAGTGGATGCCGTGGCGTCAGCGGCTGGCTCACAGCAACCTCAATATCTCCGGGGCTCAAGCATCCTCCTGCCTCAGCCTCTCGAGGTGGTGGACTACAGCATGCGCCACCATGCCGGTCTAATTTTGTATTATATATTTTTGAGTTGGTCAATTAATTTATTTCTATTTTGTGTAGAGACAGGGTCTCGCTCAAGGCTGGTTTCGAACTCCTGACCTTGAGCAATCCCCTGCTCGGCCTCCCAAAGTGCTAGGATTACAGGCGTGAGCCACCACGCCCGCCAAGACCCTGTCTTATTATGGGGAAAAACACGAATTATTTCATAAATACAAATGAATCTTGCAAGTACCTACTGGTATAAAACAAAGAATATTTGCTTTACAAAGTTTCTGTGCTCAGAATAGAACTTGATCACTGCACAAACAATGCATGGTAAAAGAGCTATTTTTTTTTTTTTTAGTTTTAATATATTTAGCATAGCCTTCACTATGGTATACTTTTATTCTTACTGTCTTCTAGTCTTCAAACTTTAAGGAAAAATAGTTTATTTTACAAAAAATGTGCTCAGTGTAATTTCTGTCTTCCCTGAAAAGCAGAATTTGAGCATTGTTCCTCAAAAATTGGAAATCAGTCTTGTCTGGAGGAACACAGTTCCTATTGGTTATCTTCCCTCAGCTCTGTTTTTTGGTTTCAGTTACGGTAAAACTCCTTGGATTTAGCCAACTCTTTAAGAGTTCAAAAAGACAAAGCTCTTTAGGAGGCTTTGCTCTTTTGGAAATATATTTTCATGGGTTAAAAATAAATTTCAAAAGAATATCTGGGGTGGAAGAAGTTCTCAGCAGAAAACAACAGACCCTGAAACACCTCCAACATGAAGCTTGTTCATATTTTTCGTTCCTTTGTACTTCTACTTAAGTTTTTGCAAGGTAAGTAATTCAATCTTTATGTAAATGTATGTTAGTAGATATTTTAAAGATTATAAAAATAGGAAAAATCTTTATATATGTTGACTTAAATATTACATAGTATATACATACATGAAATATTAATATATATGGTAATATTAATATACATACATGAAAGACTTAAAATAACCACTTGAAAACACAAAGAGAAAGGAATGTTACAAAGACAGTATAACATTTAATTGCCAAAAATGATACAATTTCTTTGTGGCAAAGGACTTTAAAATGAGAGTACAAATCACTCATGCGGAAGGTCAGGAAGAGATTATGGAACAAGTAGGATTTGAAGCTGGACCTAAATTCTGGATTGCAGGCCTGGAGCAAGGTCCAGGGACAGGCTTGCTCTGTCTTTCCTCCAGGCAGAATCATGAGAACCAAAGGTCTCTCTCAACCTTGTGCTATGCTGTGTTGGGGAAGAGTGATACAAAAATGAAACTTTTGTCTTACCCTTTTCAATGTGTCTTATATCTGTGTTCCCCTGGGGTGCTGTAACCTCTCCCTGGATTCTGGAATTCTCATCAAGGTATTTTTATACCAATGTTTAAATTGGTGTTTTTGTTGGGGAGAACAAGGCTGGAAGATCGGTTCTGCCATTTTGCAGTTCGTCATCCTCCAACTTAGATGTGCTCAGAACTAAAAAAAAAATGGAAAGAATGATGTTGTATCAACAAATATAGGATACCAATAAAGAAAAAGAATTAAAAATGTAACCAGGCGGGCGCGGTGGCTCACGCCTGTAATCCTGGCACTCTGGTGAGCCCGAGGCGGGCGGAGTTGCTCTGAGGCCAGAGTTCGATCCAGCCTGAATTTTAGTCAAGATGATTGACCTCGTCGGTCTAATCTTATACAATAGATAAGAATATATGGCCAACTAATAATATATAGAATAAAATTAGCCGGGGCATGGTTTTTGCACTATGCCTGTAGTCCCAAGCTACTTGGGAGGCTGAGGCAGGGGATGCTTGAGCTCACGAGTTTGAGGTTGTCGTGAGCTAAGGCTGATCGGCCACAGCACTCACTCCAGCCTGGGGCAAAAAAAAAAAAACAAAAAGTGAGAACTCGTCTCAAAATAAA